CTCCTACCCGCTGTACCTCATCAACTAAGAGATTATCCAAGTGTCATCCAAGGACAGCGAGCGTTCTCCCATCCGCTCGGGGAGACGCGCCCGGTAGCAGTATCTCTTCTGCCCCGAGTGTGTGTGTGTGTGTGTGTGTGGCCGTATGTAAACCTCTTATAACTTTTGAACGCCTCGACTGACTTCATCGTGGTTGGTGCCATTCGAAAAGGTCTTGACCGAACTTAGATTTTGAAATCAATTTCAACCGATTCGAACCGGTAAATTTTAAGAAATATAAAAAAAACTACAAAAACAAATTTTTTCAAATGTAGTTGTTTGGAATAAATTTTATTCGGCTGAATACTCGGTTGAAATCGGCTGATTCGTTCGTGAGTTATCGTTGTCGAAAAAAAAAACGAAAAAAGTATTTTTTTCGAATTACTTCGAAATTACTAGTTCGATCAATTTGCTCTTGAAAGTTCTTTATGAGGCTTGAAAAACTGCGTCGAATGCTGCTAACCGCGTGAAAATCGGTTCGTTCATTCAAAAGTTATTGCGGTTTGAAAGTTCAATAATAGTGTTTTATTGAACTTTTATCAGACTTTTGAGCTTGGACTTTGAATATATTATTGATGAGGAAAAAGACTCAGTTATTGACACTGGCCTAGTGGATTGACACTTGCAATTTTATTCTAATTAAAAAAATAAAATGTTCTCAAAAAACCAATTTTCTTAAAATTTATAAGTCAAAAATTATATTTATTAATTTATTAGAGTTGATTTGTTTTATTTAATTAAAATAAAATTGCGAGTGTCAATAACTAAGTCAGTGTCAATAACTGAGTCGTTTACCTTAATGGTCAATTTGTTTATTCATAGTTTATAGAAAAGTTTTTAATAGTTGATTCATTTTATAAGTTTTTTCCGTCATGTTTTCCAATCAGTTATTGATAATTGATCCTATCATAGCAAGATTAATTTTTAAATTTACTTCAACTCAAAAAAACCTGAGTTATATATATCATAATTGAAAATATCGAAAAATTATTAAACCAAAGTTATTTTTATTTATAATTCGTTAATTCTCGGCAGTTATATAATAGCTGAAAATTGCTTGTGATAATAAGATATGTTAACTGATTAACATTTTATTGGGAACTATGATTTGTAGATATTTTCATTTGAGTTTATTCGTGACCGTTAATCCAATGACCATGTTATCTTGAATCCTTCAAATAAAAGTAAACCATTTAAATTCACAATTTATTGTTTGATAACCAGATATAACTAATAATTCTTTATCTTTCATTATTAATTTCTATTGATCAAAAATAATCGAGAAAGTTTAGTGAATTACGGGCCAGCTAACTTTTTTACGCTAATATTTAAAAAATCAACTATATTTAATCGGATATGGTGAGTTAATATATTTGTCCTGGTCAGACTAAATTTTGGAATTTTTTTCCTGTATTTACATTGTCGCTCTCAGAAGTTGCAAATAGGCGAAGCCTGTTTTAAGAATCTGAAAAATAAAAATTTATCAATAAGATCTGTTTCTTAGAATACCCGGGAAAATGTTTGTGGGTCTATGTTAATCAAATTATTTTAAAGATCTACTTAAACGAAATTTAATCTATATACATAGATTCAATTCAATCTAAGTCAATATTTCTGTGTACATAGGCCTAAAATTATCAAAACTGTAATATCACTGGGCAAAACAACTTGAATATTTTATTTAAAAACACAGTTACGGCAAAATTTTTATATCTGTTTTTTTTCAACTTCCCGCTAAGAAAATTGAAAATTTTCAAAAATCGAGAAGTTATTGGTTTTGCCCCGTGTTTCGAAAATCGAGTTTTGATCAGATCACGACGTTTTAAGGTCAGAGGAAGCTTCCCTGACTACCCCCGCGATGTTGTCACTGTGTGTGTGTGTGTGTGTGTGTGTGTGTGTGTGTGTGTGTGTGTGTGTGTGTGTGTGTGTGTGTGTGTGTGTGTGTCGTACGTA